TTTATAGACCAAACCACTATAAACAAGATACTATGACCTGACTGCACAGCATTAAGTACCATTACATATCTTAATTAGATTTCACACTTGGCTGATAATCAAGGTAGGCTTTTTTTTCTTCCCCACATGAATTTTTTTCCACCCTCATAAAAATAGTTCTATGGGTTTACTTGAAATTTGGTAAAGTAAAAATTTACTTAAAATGTCAATTACATCCTAAAACAGAATATTTAGAAATTTTTAAATTAAATGTAAATAAATCATTTGTTAATTTAATTTTCACAGAATAAGATAATACATAAGGAAAGTTATTCTGAAAAAGTAAGAAATCCCAGGCTCCTTGAATGTTATTACAGACCTAATCACTTGGGAGACAGATGTTAAGAAAATCTTTTTAATCCTAAATCCTTTAATGGACTTTTACAAGTTAGGTCTTTTAAACATTCTGAGCAATTTAAATTTTGTGCTGAATAAAACTACTGCATTTAAATAATTTAAGACTCACTAAAGTCTCAATTCATTCAACAGAATTAAATGTATTTCACTCAATCCTCTTTGGATTTCATCAAGTGCTGTGTGGTGGAAAGAAAACCAGATTGAGGAGATTCAGAAAGTCTTGGATTGAGGAGACATCTCTGTTGTGTGACCTCTGTGTCATTTAAGCAATTTTGAGTATTGGTTTGTTCATTTACAAAATGAAAACCTGTCTCAACAGATCTTTGTAAAGATAATAAAAACAAGTGAAAGTACTTTTGAAAATGAAGGCAGCAATCTAACTACATGCTGTGTATTACTCAATTGTCCCCCTAGCAATGGAGAGAGAACATTAATCGTAGGTTTCTCTACCCCAAACTAAAGGGATCACATCCCAGCATCTACAACAATCCTCTCACCAGGTCAGAGCAGCGATTCCCACCTCAGTATCAGGCTGTGCAAAAGCATCTGGATGCTCTGCCGCACCTCCACTCAGGGGCTCTTATAAAAAAGGGAACGAAGCGGTCACTAGTTGAGAACCCTATTTTGGTAGTTCATACTCAATTCTCACTTAGTGTCACTGAAGTATTACATTCTCATAAAATCAACTCCTAATTTTATGCATTCCTGGCAACTGGAGTCAGCCAGGTAAGATAAAAAGCAATAATAAAACATACCTGAATCCACCATCCCTTTCTGGTCATCACTGCTGATGAGTGGTCCTTATCTTTGTTCCATCTTAGGCTTTCACCTGTCTTCCCAGTCTTAATCACTTCTGCTAGAATTCTGGGCACACTGTATATTACTGGTTCTCTTTTGCTCATCCAGTTATATTTCCTGTTATGCCTTGCTGATCAAATTTCAAAAACTCAACACTTTCTCTTCTTAGTCACTGTTTGCAAGTCCATCACTTCATTAACTCCATTTTTTCTCTCAACGTTTATGTGCACAGGAAAACACGGAGTCCTTGGGCTATGCAAAGCACAGCCTCTCAAAACCTTACCTCTACTTTCCCACCTAACTCTAAGCATTTGTCTGTACCATCAAACTTAGTTATTTGTCCTTGAAAGAGAAATCTTTCATAATCTTCAAAGCAACCTTTCTTATATTAATGTTTATAATGTATTTCCATGTTACTATTAAGTCTTTTAAGAAGTAAAACACTGACTGATCACAGGACCACTGTTAAATAATATTGTACTTTTTCTAAAATTGAAACTTTACCACTTGAGGTAAGTATCAAAATATTTATGAACGATATAATCTGATACTTGTTTTAAAATCACACTGAGGATTGGGCCTGACCGGTCCTGGTGCTGCGTCTAGTTGAGAAGTGCACAGATAGTTCATTATATTCCTCTGTTTTTAAATTCTCTGCAACAGATATGCAAAGTTTTTTTCTTCACTTGCTACAATCTCGGCTGCTTTCACAATATCTAATATCTGACTACTTCTGCCATTTAAATGGTGCTACAAAACTCAATAGCAAAATACACAATTATACTAAATTACACTATTTGTTATTTACTATATACTAGGCTAAGCATTAAGGTATTCACATAAATATGACTTTACAACAAACTTAACAGGTAGTTCTCACTAAAAGCTCAGAGAGGTTAAGAAACTTGTCCTGCATCATCAAGATGAAAATAAACATTGAGTGTTCATTATCCACCTAATGAGAAGAAAAAAAATTATCCCATTAAAAACTCAAACACAACACTCACATAAATTTGACGTACTTCACTTACGAATTATAAGTTACCAAGTAGAACTGCTCAAAGACAAATCTGAAATCAGTTTACATTTTCCTAGTTAATATTTGGTGGACTTAACAAATTTTATTTGCATTCACAATTAAAGCAGGTATAATGCTAGCAGACTGTGCAGTCACAGTTTATAGCCACAATTTGGAAAGGGAGGTACCCAAGTTAAAAGACAGCAGGTTTAGTTTTAAGGCAGTAAGTTCAGGCCCTCTAAATTGACCCATAACCATGTACAACTATACCCATCTGGTCCGAAAGATAATAGTGTTCAGTCCCCTACATATTAAGGCACTGAATCACACACATGAATTTTAGCAATTATGTATCAACTTTAAGAAGTTTTACACAGCATTGGATTTTAATGCATCTGTTTAAGAATGTCAGTATGTTCTTCAATGGAATTAGTGCATTCCTAAAACATACGTGCATTTTTATAAAGTGTTAACTACTGGCTTTAACTCTGTAAAATATTTATATCCCAGCAAATAAAACTTAGGCATGATTGAGGTAAAAAAAAAAAAATCCAAATAAATAAAAGTTATTTTTTCATTTTGTGCAACCTACTGGCTTTTTAAAAGGGCTTGTTTCTTTGGCATGAAAAGTAAAAGTTAAGACATTTAAACATTGCAGCTATAAATAAACAAATGATGGTGTGCACTTTCTGGAATACAAATCTCACACTAAATGAAAGCATGTTTACTAAGTACTCTCTTATCAAGGGGACCAAAAAGGTTATGGGTGTTTTTTAAGATGTAACAAATCCATTCAACAAATGTCTTTATACAATGTCTTTAAAAGTCATGTCTTTCCTCCAGCATATGGTTATTTATAAATTATACATACACATTCCAGGAAAATTGAGGTCTTAGAAATTAAAATATATTCATACAGCAAAGAGGTAGTCATAAAAATTCACCAAGCTAAAAATAAGCTTATTTCTTAGTATCATAAAACAACATAGTTACACTGAAAATTATTTCATTATAACCCTTGCATTGTATTAATTTCTAAAGTGGTAGTAGAAGGTAAGTTTTGGCACTGCTGGGGTCCCTGTTAATTCTAGTCTTTTTCCTATAATGACAAGACACTGGAGTTGCTATCAACAGAACATTTTAAGCTCTTCACAGGCCAATCCAGGCACCCTTCTGCCAGGTGTTTAATGTTTCCATTCCAGCCCTTCTGTTGAATTACAACTTACCAGATGACCAGCTAGAGCCAAGGGTTGTATTTCCTGGTCATGGAACACAACAAAATTAATCTGGTCTGCTCAAAAACAGAAACACTTGCCTTTGGCCTTATCAGCATAAGTAATTTCCCAGAATTAAGGAAAAAAAAAAAAAAAGTAAGAAATTCAAATATGAGAAACCTCTATGTTTCAGGTAAATGAAAAGATCAATTTCACTTGCAAGTGAAAGGTCCTCCAATTCATTTAGAGTAAGAAAAACTTATCAGTGTAATGACTTTTAAATCTGAATCCATGTAATGGATGTAATCCATGTAATCCATGTAATGCCTTTTAAATCTGAAAGGAAGGCAACCGAGAATATGCATCACTGCAGCCCAGAGATCTCCCAACAATAAAACTCAGAGATCTCCCAACAATAAAACCAAACAGCTTTTCTCTGGCAGCTACATCACAATAGGGGGTAGACAGATGCTGGACACTGTATCAATAATATTAATAGTTCAGCTAGTCTCTTTAGCTTAGTTTTTGTGATATACTTTGTATTTAGTAAATTGGTGTCTTTAACAGTCTATATAAAATACACTTTCTTCAGTTATTACTCCTTATACAGTCTAAAGGTATGCTGTCCAATACAGTGGACACTGGCCACATGTCACTAATTTCAATTAAACTAAAAACTTAGTCCCTCAACCATACTGATCACACTTCATGGCCTCAGGAATTTCACAACTAGTAGTCAACATATGGGAGTACAAAGTGCATCCATTGTCATAAAAAAGTGCAGCTGTGCTATATTCCCATAAAATGTTTCTAAAAACTCCTATTTTACAAAGTTTATAAAAAGACCATCACTACACCTAGGCTATAGTTTAATAGTTAATACTAATCTATGTGCAAGCTACGAACTAGTATTACTAACTTTCTGGTCCTTATGTAGAGTGAATTTAGTAACACTTGCACATAATTCTTTGTAAGACCCAAATAAAACATGAACTCAATTAAGATATTTCTACATTATTATGAAGAACAAAGTGAATATCTGGTATGTGTGATGCAAGTAACTTAGCAATCATGACTAAAACAGACCCTCTCATCCTTCCACTAATATCCCAAAATCTTGGAAAATGAAAGCATGCATAATTATGAACAAGTGCTTCAAAAAATGAGGCAAAAAGACCTTTAGATACTCCTCTTAGTGTCTTAGCAAAGGAAAAAAAAAAATCACTTATACTGGAACTGTGCCAACAAGAAATAGTTAAAAAACAAAACAAAAAACCCTTAAGAAATAAACTGCTATGGGACAAAGACTTAAAAAAAAAAAAAACTTTCAGTTTAAAGCATGCAAGAATGTTCTCAAATTTGTAATGAGCTGATAAAAAAGCGACTTTGATTACTTAAAAATCAGGTTTACTTTCTCAGAACAAAAGGTAGAATGATAATAACTTTATCATTTCTTCAAATAACTCTAGGGTAGGAGGCAAGAACTGGGGAACAGAATAGATTACTTGTTTTTCTGAGTAGGTAAAAGCAAAACAACCCAATCAAAATGCACACAGCTGTATCTCAAAGAAAAATGCCAACACAACGTAACCATACTTTATTTGACTGCAACTTAGACAGCTTGCACATTTCAAACCCCCACTGAATCTCTCTCTCCAAAAGGATATGGGACAAGAGGAGAAAATTATGCAGTAATATCCAGTCATCAAACATCAGTCCAATATTTTGAGATACACGTCATACTTAATAGATACGCAACTCATATTTGATGTCAATATAATTTATGTTTTTACAAACCTGAAAACCCTATAACATTATAGAGACGTCATGGTGCACTGAAAACTCACTCTGATGCATTACCAATTTGATCTATGCTCCTGAAAAGTGATGAATTTTATGATTTTTAGATACCATAATAAATATACACATCCAGTCTTACACGTCTGCTGATACTGTAACACAGGGCAAGGTAAAGTTAAAATATGACAAACTCCTTTTACATAGATTTATCAAGCAAATGGGGAAGGTAACTTGGACAAGAGAGGCAGAAAATATTAAAACCAATTTTTAATAGTAATTCCTTTCTTTTTATTTTGCTGGCTTCAACTCCAAAAACTAATGTCTGGTTTCTGATCCGTGAACTTCTCTAGAGTAAGTAGTTTCATCCCAATATAAGGAAAATTAGCCCACACATCAAAAATGGTAGTATACCCGTTAAGCTTCTTCAATATTAACATATATAGCTTCATGGTAGCATGTGTAAAAAGTTTCAGCAGTACCATCTGCCAAACCAGTGTCAGTGGATAGTACACAGTACAGTCAGCCTTAAGGAAGCAGCACCCTATTAAAAGAAAGTTGCGCCAATTTTACTCAGTTTCAGCCAAGTGAACGTACTCTATCAATTAAATGAAATTATTTTAAGCTGATATTAAGAAAAACAAAAGCTTAAAGTAACTTAATGTTTATACATTTTGACTTGAATGGATACTTTTAATTTTGGTGCTGGATTATCATGCTAGAGGTTAAAATTTTAGGTGAACAATTTTTGTGCATCCGATTAAAGGCATAAGGTATACACTGATACTTAATTAACATACACCAACAGAACAATATGGCAACCATTGAGTTTCTAGTCACACAGTTAAGGTCATGTTTACAAATGCTCAGGTAACAGCTGATCCAGGAAATGTGAGGTTAAGGATCAGTGGTGATAGTTTGATAGGCCAACTAAAACAAAGATGGTCTGAACTGATAATCTAGCAAGTTATCTATAACTGTCCCCATTACTGAGTCAAGCAAATGTGTATTCAACAACAATCATTACCCTATTAACCAGCAAGTCATATAGAAAGGGGTGAAGTAAATCTGATGACATAATACTGTTTTAGATTGTTTCCTTCATATTAAAAATAATAACAGAAGCATTACTATGACTAGTATTCTTCTAAAACAGATGCAAAACAAGTCAGCTGAAAAGCTGAGTACTGTGTGGTCTTATTTTTAATAACCCAGTATTCTGCTCATTAAATTCTGAAGAGCAATATAGAATAGAAAGAAAAAGTTTTCTTTAAAATTAGGAATTATAAATGATCCCACCACAGCAGGAAGGTTTTATTTTCATCAAATATAAATTGTGTATCTTTATTTTAAAAGTAATTAGCATGTTCACTTTCAAAATACTATACTGAGCAAAGAGCAGCTTTCCTTAAAAAAAAAAAAATGCAAACTTTCCTGAAAAGGGGCCTTTACCAACTGTTAATGGAGGTAGGGTTTTTTAAAAATACAGTAATTATAGCCACAAAAAATTCAAACCAACTCCTAGAGGCGATGTAAAGCATATTCAAATGAAAACAGCAACAACAACAGATTCTATAGGACATTTTTTCACAAAGAATAAACCTTTTCTTATGGGTACTTAGGTTTTCCAGTTAAATAAGTTATCCACCATAGGTTTGCTGACTCAACTGAAAGCAATTAACTTCAAAATTTGTTACACTGACAAATTTATCAATACATAACGTAATTAATAAACATGGTGGGTGAAAACCCAAAGAACTCATTAAAAAAGATTTTCCTTTATCTCTTGTTTTTCTGGAGGAACAAGGCAAAGCTCTTCCCAAGAATCTATTTAGACAAGTGAAAAGAAAATAAAAGCAGCTTAAAAGGATACAATACACCTTGAAATTTATTTTGAAGACCATGAACCAAAGTGAAGCATTTTAAGAAATGGAAGCAATGTAAATCCAAATCAAGTGGGGAAAATACTTTTAGTTACTTTATAAAAGCTGTTGCAGTAATTTTGATTAAATAAAATGATACCAATTTAATTTTCTATTCTTTCCCAAAAGTTCCCTCAAAAAAAAGTGCACCTAAAATCCAGCAATTCCTAGCTCCATCAACTTTTCTCATCCCTCTTGAGCCATTTCTCAAACATTTTCCAAGCAGATTCTATTTGTTACTGCATGGAAAGAAGGGACTTGTAAGGTGAAGCATTGTCACCTGGAAAAAGTATCCAAATTATAAAAATCTGAAATAATTTATTGTCAAATTTAGAATTTAAATAAAAACAAAAATTTGCTTGCAAAGGCCATAAAGAAAAGGAAAAGTCAGCATGCATTCAAAAACTAGAGATGAAGACAAATATACTTATCTACACAGGCACTGGCAGACGCACTTTAATTATCTTTACTCACTGTAAGACATATCCCACCCTACATTTTTTCATTCACTAATCACTGAGGTACCAATATTCAAGAATGGAAAATTTAATATTGAAAAAATAAAACCTAAAATTGAAACTTTTCCCTCATCCTCTTCAGAAAACTATGGCAGGTTTTGTGTGAAATGTTAGTACACTCAGAGACTTTTACAATCTACATTGGCTTTTTAAGGAACAAATTATGTTCCACTTACTGGTTCTGTGATAAAATGGTCACTATGTAAATAACATTGTCAGCAGACTGCAAATGAACAAATCTTGGCTATCAACTGGCACATCTTGCTGGTACCAAAAGAACTCCTTTAGTTTAAAACAATCTCTTTTAATTCAGAACGAATGCGCCATGCCAAAGTGCAACAAATATTGTGCGACACTCAATGAGACACTGACAGATAAAGAGCTGCATGGGAATTACTAAATCCACCTGCAAAGCAATTCTGTACAAATTGCATTGCATGCAAAGGTCGACTCTGTGTGGTTGGAAGTTGTTCCTCGATGTCAGTTTCTCAACGCAGCCATAGTTTAAGTCGCAGTGCATCAACTCCATTTAAATAGTATCTGAACAGCCGCTTATCTCGAACAAAACCAAGATTTTCATAAAGTTTCAAAGCAGACTTATTTGTTATTTCGGTTTCCAAAACAACCTTCAAGAAATGAAAGAAAACTGAGTTATAATTTTATAATTTGAAAAGCTTACAGAGCATATACCCAGCTTAAATAATTAAGAAAAAAATACTACACACTGATTTGTTGGTTTTTTTCTTTTCTTTTCTTTTTTGAGACAGGGTCTCATTATGCAGGTCAGGCTGCCTTGAGCTCACTTTGTAGCCCAGGCTGGTCTTGAACCTGCAACGATCCTCCTGCCTCAGCCTCCCCAGTGCTGGGATTACAGGTGTGTGCCACCATGCCCACCACATTGACTTGTTTAAAAACTGACAATGAAAACATCTTTGAGTCTAAGTGAGGTGGGATCTCCAGGGGCTTACTTTCTGTTCTACTAATTTTTGTGATGTTTGGAATTTTTAACAAGATTGTTTATGTTTTACACTAAAACAAAGATGAGTGATTTCCCTGTGGTGGAAAATAAGATGGCAAAAGAAAACCAAAAATAAAAAGATGGCAAAAGAAAACCAAAAATAAAACCAGGACTTGAAACTACTGAGATTGACCTGCAATTCCTGTATTTTCATTAATGTTATCACTTATCTTGACAACAACTATATTTGTCTCATGTATACCAGAGTCTGTAAACTACAGACTATGAGCCAAATATGCCTGCTCCCTGCTTTTGTAGATAAACTTTTACTGGAACAGTCAGGCTCATCTGTTTACATGTCTATGTCTGCTTTTTGATACAGAGCAGAACTGAGCAATTACCGCAAATACAAAAGTTCTACAAAGGCCAAAGTATTTTACTATCTGGCCTTTTGCAGAAACAATGTGCTGAACTTGGACCAGGAATACTCAAGGCATACCATAATCATCTGAAGGGTTTACTGAGCCCCACCCTAGAGTTTCTGAGTAGGAGAGAGTATCTGGATTTCAAGTACATGAACTGAATTCTTTCCATGATTCTGGTTATGAACTAAACCAAATATCCCCCTAAGGTCAACATTGAACCTAGCCATTGAATTTGATTCCGTTAGTGTCCAATTCAGTTTGTGACCAGAACTGTGAAAAGAATCAAGTTAGTGAACCGAGGCACCACTGTAAATCACAAGGTGATTAGTGTTGCTGCTGGCTGAGGATCTACAATTTTAGAACTACTGGCCTAGCATTACTGATACCAAAACTTAACAGAGGAGCAGAGTATTAACTTTCATAAGTCTTTAAATATTATCGTACTAATGGCCATGGAAATGAAGAACTGATATTCCTGAATAGTGTTTTTTAAAACTTATTTCTGCCTCTTTATCAAAACACGCTTGACCCCATCATCCCAACTCTTACAGCTCTATTTGCCTTTGAATCTCATCTACCACACCACACTAAGCCAGTTACTACCCTCAGCTGTTTAAACACAGAAAAAATGACAAAGGACAAATGAACAAAAGCCCAACTACAAAGTATACGAGGCTCTCCAGTTTTATCTCAAGCTATTGAAAGGTCTGACAAGAATTCAAACAGATATAAACAGAAAAAAGACAGTACCTCAACTTATCATATCCTAACAATCTGCTCTTTCTCCACAATTCCATAACTCAATGAGCAGGATTTCCATCCTACCACAAGAATGCCTCAAAGTGGAAACCTGAGTTATCTTGAACTCTTTGCTCTCTACCCAGCTACAAATGTCAAACCACTAACTCTTGCTAACATTCCTTCTTAAATCATCTCTCAAACTGGTTCTCTTTTTTCTATCCTCAATACCATATCCTAATCCAAGTTCCCATTAATGCCCACTGTTAATTACAAGAGCTTGCTAACTCAAGAACTCTCCCATTTTCTAAGAGTGATGCTTGTTATTCCCTGATAAAAAATGTATTTACTCTTTTGCTATCAAGATAAAGTCCAACATTTAAAAATAATCTAACGAGACCTAAGAGATTTATCAAGATACAGCCTCTGCGAACAACTCCAGTTTTGCGCTAAGTCTCTCTCCTCTTTGTATTCATGTTCAACACCAAACTTTCTGTGTCTGGAATCTACCATGATCTTTCCTTCTTTTGTTTTTTCGTAAAAACTGTTTTCTGTCTATAAAGATGTCCTTCCTATACTTCTCACTTACGGCCTTGGCGTATTACTTCAGATCAGGTGGAGTATTCCTTTCCCTTTGTACTACCCCACAACACTTTGCACTGCCCCTATGAAATACTCTAATGATCACCACTCCTAGATGGTGAGACAACACAACAGAATACAACATGTACCTCCTACACAGCTACATTCTCCTCACCTACCATACTGCCTGGCACAGAAAGCTTTTTAACACTCAATGTGTCCTCAGCCCATTTCATTGTATGACATACATTATATAAACATTACACAAAAGTGTTTGCATACTTTTCAACAGCCAGGGTACGTGAAGTATTATCTATAGGCAAGTACCTGTGCGATTAACTCCTAAAAGCAAATTTCATGCTACACCTAAGCCTGTAAAAGATCTAAAATCAAGTAATTAATAGTTTAGGATCAACTGGGCATGGCAATACACACTTCTAATTTCAGCATCTGGGAGGCTAAGGCAGGAGAATCGTAAGTTGGTGCCCAGCCTGGGTAATTTAGCAATATGGTGAGATTCTCTCTCAAAATAAAATATTAGAGGGCTTGGGGATATAGATCATTCACAAAGTTCTGGATGCAATCTCCAGCACTGCAAAAATACAAAAACAAAAACAAAAAATAACAAAAAACAAAAACAAAAACAAAAAAACCCTCAAACCAAACCAAAACACCAACAAACAAAAGTTCAGGATCAAGTAAAAATACTCCTAGGAAGACTCTGAGGCCAGCCTGGGCTACACAGTGAATTCAAAGCCAACCTGGACTACACAGTGAGATCCCATCTCAGAAAAACAAAACGAAACAAAACAAAAAACAAAACAATACATAGCCAACAAGTTGGTTTAAGATAATTAAAATCCAATCTATGATCTTAAAAAATTCAATTTTTACTAATGCATGCCATGATAGAGTATGGAACATTTCAGTGTAAGTTTTTAGTTTTAAACAGTTCTCTTGGGTAATTCCTGGAAATATATTATTACGTCAGTACCTAACAGCTAAAATGTTAAATCAAGGCAATTTAATGACACGTACTCTGAAACAATGCAAAACTTGTGACTGATTTCATATTTTTAAAAAGATGTGCTATGTATGATGTCACTGTTTTCAGAGCAACTCTATAAAATAGATATGGTTATCTCCGTTTCACAGATGAATGAAATGTAATATGACTAGCAAATATGAATTTGAGCTTAGTAGTAAACACTCTTCTGTACTTCCCTGATTGTTTTCCAGAGCAAAATAAAGCAGCAAATGGGAGAGCTAATCTATTTAGGAAAAGATGAAGGGGATCCGAGCCCACCATCATTAGTATCTGGCAATCTAAAATATCTGTAACACACTTAAGGCTATCTACAGCCAGGCAAACACACTACTAAAGTGTGGTTAAGAGTTAAATTCTAGTCCATAAGCATCCTAACAAATTAACAAAATAAAGCCCAATTAAACAGAAAAAAATTACACAAAGGGTTACTGTAAATTTCTAAATAAAGAGATTGTATATTACTCAACACAAAAGAAAATGCCAGGGGAAAAAAAAAAGCAACTACTTTTTAATGCTTAACCAGTTAAATTCTTTTAAAATCTGGGTTTATACTCGAAATTCACTATGAAGCTACTTTTGCTCTCCATCATGGAAGTATCACAGAGGAAGCCAAAGGACAATTGAGGAATTTTTGGTTCTAAAGAAAACTGACAAAGTTGAATTCTATTTAACAGTCAGAGTTAACAGTGATACTCCACTGATTCTCTTAGCAACAAACCATTATTCTTTTGTACACCAAACCACTACAATTTAGATAGCATTTTTAATACTATAAGTTTGGAAGCCCTTGAAGAGCAGGCACGCTCACAGAACCTAACCACTCACATACTGTCCAGAATTTAGCAAACCTCCTTTTCCACTGGTATCTGCTGAATGAACAACTAATTTTTTTATTGTTCTTTACAAAGGAACTAACACCAAACTGCACAGACTAAGTGACAGCCTAGAAAAAGGTAAATGATTTGCCTATAATCAACTACCTAGCTGTCTCTATGCCATAGCCAAAATGTGTTTCTAGTGAAATTAAAAATGTTTAAAATATAATTATTAAAAATACATACAAATAAACATAGTAATAAGCACACATAATTAAAAAGCTAAAAAGTCATCTTTTACCTTGTGGAGGACAAAAGAATTAATGAATCTTTCTACCCTTATATGTATATATTTTAACGAAAAATAACTTAGATCTTTCTGGCTACCAATAATCTAGTTAATAATGACCTATTTTATTCTTTTGATAGTACAAAATATGGTAGGCTGTAACTTTTATGTCTAGAATATACCAAAATGTCTTGTGCATTACTCGTATACTGCTAGAAATAAATAGCATTAAATTAAGCAAACTAGGCTGTTGGGAAAGCAAACTATAAACAATGCAACAGGTCATGGAGCATAGTCTTATATGGGAGAAGATACCTAAAAAAAACCACGTGAGCTGGCATGTAGGCAAATGCCTGATACCAACAGTCAGGAGACTGAGGCAGGAGGACTGAGTGTTCAAGGTCAATCAGGGCTACCTAGCAAGTTCAAGGACAGCCTAGATTGTCTCAAACAAAAACAAAACCACAATAGCAAAAATACAGCAAATATTAAAACACATGCATCAAAAACAAAACAAATAACAAAATACCAAAATGCATATGCCAGAAAATTGGCAGACTCAATTTCTATTTTCCAAGTTTTCTATTATGTTTATTATGGCTTCTCAAAAGGAGAAATATTTTCATCATAAATCACCAAAAATTAAGAGCTACATTAGTAACAGTGCTTCCCTAGCGTGTGAGCGGCTTCAGGTTCAGTTCCAGCACTATAATAACTAACTAAATAATGACAGTTTCAACTGAAAATGTTTCAAAGTCATGTGCTACACCTCTAAATTCCATTAAGAACTTTTGATTTCATTTTATAATAATTAGCTCTGAATATTAATATAATGGTAAACATACCTTAAATCTTTAAAAGTTCTTAAAATTTTCAATTTTTCATAGATAAAGATTTAAGAACATCTACAACTTAAAAAAGTAAAGCCGTTAATCATGCTGATCAATCACCTGTCAACATTCTAATTTATTTTAAGAGAGAATACATAAAAATCAATGGCTACTACACAGGCTTATTATTGCAAGTATACAGGTGTACTTTACAAATTACACACTAGAAACTCATTCAAATTATTTGCATTTCTTTATTCTTTCCCCTAAGTAAAACACAACCTGAGACTCTTTGTCTCAGCCACTATACAATCAGCAGCCATAGCATGTAGGGGATGTAACAAAGTCAAATCAGATCAGCTTACGGACAAAGGTACCACTTATTCATGAAGCAATCATTTCACCTGCTTCCTTTTTTAATGTTGTAATTGGTCAATGCCCAATATAAAGAATTTTTGTTGTTGTTGTTTTTTTTTTGTTTTTTGATACAGCGTCTCACTACAGTTCAGGTTGGCCTTGAACTCACTTATGTAGCCCAAACTGTCCTCAAACCTACAGCGACCCTCCTGCCTCAGCCTCCCAACTGCTGGGATTACAGGTGTGCACCACCATGCGTGGCAATAAATTTTTTAAGTCTTTAGCTATGCTGTTTTAACACGTCTAATTCTGACATTAAAAAACTGGCAAAAAGTCACAGTAAGGCAAAATGCAGATATCTATTCCACCAAGACATTATTTGGGCAAAAAAGAACCTACATTTCAACTCTCTGGCTACTAATGTCTAGTGGTAACCAAAACAACATAAACACAATACAAAGTCACAAATTTGGTAAACAGAAAGTAAAAATTGATAGGATGTGTATGTATCTCCATTAATAGCTCCACAGATCTAAAAAACCTAAACAAAAAACACCAGTGTCTTTAAGAATTTTTCAAATAACAGCACAGTGGAAACCATAGAAAATGTTATTTAAAAACCCTTCTTAGGAATAGGGAAGTAGGCAGTGTTGGTACAGCAGTTGCCTAGTGTGCACACAGCCCTGGGTTCAATTCCTGGTACCCTCCTCTCCCAATCAAATGACTTTCTGATACATTTTTTGATACTGTCAACATTTTTTGAGCTTTTAAAAGAAAGAAAACATGGCCTAATTTGATACAATTTAAATCGTATGTTTAATGTTTTATAATTAGTCACTATATTCTTAGAGAATTACACTATAATTTCAAAGTTTTCCTCAGAATAATGCAATTATAAACAAAACAATATTTTTTACCCAAACTGCATTTTAACAAATGCAGTAGCCAGGCATGGTGGCACACACCTGTAATCCTAGCACTTGGGAGGCTGAGGCAGGAGGATGGCCACAAGTTTGGGCCAACCTGGAATACTTAGTGAGTTCAAGGCCAGCCTGAACTACATAGAGAGACCCTGTCTTTAAAAAAAAAAACGTGGTTAACCATACAGATTCCCTTAGCTTTTAAAATCTTATGTACTGTGCACAAAAATAAGGCTATTATTGTTCAAAGAAAGCTTATAAAAAGTGAAGATTACACGAGTCAAAATTCAAACTGCTTCTTTAAAGAGGTACAAACAATATGCTAGAAACACAGTTAATCATTCAAGTATTTCTGAACCCTGTACTGCACTAACTACTAGGAATACAGCAATAAACGAGATAAGACATCTCTGTCATGTGTCGTGATTAAGGTATAGGCACTGAAAGTGCAGTAAATACTATAAAAGAAGTCAGGAAAAACACAGAAGGGTTAACTGGTTCTGTCCAGAAAGAAGAAAACTGAGTATTGCTGTTGGTACTGAATTAGGTCTTAAGACTGGTATTTCAATAAGCAGAGAACAACCAAGAAGCTACTGGATCTAGCAACCCTACCAGTGAATAAAGTTTCACCTGAGTAGAAAGGGCAGGAACCAAACAAAATGGGATGATGCGGTAATAAAGGAAGAAACAGCAACATACTATTGGGAGAGAGAGAGAGAGGATTTATTGCTCATACAATTTAAAAACAAAAGCTCTGTCTAGTTATATAGCAAATAATTTATCTGAACAATGGGACACAGATAAGCCTTCCCCAAAGTCAAGAAAAATTTCTCTAATCCAGAAGTACAGATAATTCAAACTGCAGGAACAATCCACCTAAAAATCATATGACAGGAAAATGTTCATGGAGCCTAAGACTTCCTGGCCCACAATGAAAAGAACATTTCTATTCTTTTTGTTTTTGATTTTGAGACAGGGTCTCGCTATATAGTTCAGGCTTGCTTTGAACTCACTATAGAGCTCAGGATGGCCTTGAACTGGCGGCCATCTTCCTGCCTCAGCCTCCCAAGTGCTGGGATTACAGGCATGTTTCACCACCCCGGCCAAGAACATTTCTATTCAAAATCTACATACCATACCTGTCAACTTTCAAAAACCAATAGTATTTAAACGTTTGATCAGTAAAGGTAAAACACACAGCCTGCCTCACAGGTAGTGATAGGGATAACTCATAAAGGGCTTAACCACAGGAACAAAATATTCCCTGCCCTCAATAGCTCTCTGTTAACTACAAACAACTCTCCTCAGTAGTAGAAGAGCAAACATGGTCTATGAACCCCAAGACTTTTTCCAAACTGTTAAGCAACTTTTGTGAAGCGTGACTTCTCCTCTTGATGAGCTGACTAAACCAGTATGGACATGGTTCGAAGCTACAGGGTCACACTCCTGAGCTTATCCAGTCCAATTAAGTTAAATTTAGTTATTAGCTATATAAATGACTTGTGTTTCTATATCTTTTACTTTCAGATAATAAAAGCTATAAACAATGGAAGAGCCTTCACCGGTGAATTATCCAGAGTAGAATTACATACCTTTAAATCCTAGGATAACTTCATTGTATTACCTAGTACTCTATAGGGCTCCTCTCATGTAACCACATTTCATGTCATCTGTTAGAATATACACTAAAGTGAACAAAGCACGAAAATAAACATTCTGGGCCTGGCATGGTAGCACACACCTGTAAACTCAACACTCAAGAAGCTGAGGCAGGAGGATCTCCATGAGATCAAGGCCTGTCTGGGCTACATAGTGAGTTCAAGGACAGCCTAAACTGCATAGCAAGACCCTGTGTCAAAAAACAAACAACAAAAAACAATGCAAAAAAGAACAGAAATATTCTGCAATAAATCTTTGGATTTTTAACATGGAAATGCACTGAGATATTATTAAATAAAAACCAGTATTATTGATTTCTTTCTTGTAAAAAATTACACTTGTATAAAAAAACCCGCATAAAGGTTTGCTTAGAAAATGGAAGCATGCATTATTAGCTAGAGGAGAAAAGGAGAATAGAGTTGAAGAACATAAAGATGGCAGAAGAGGCAGGGCATGGTGTCACACTCCTGTAATCCCAAATATACGGCAGACTGAAACAGGAGGATTTGAGCTGAGCCTGGCTGATTTAATGAGATCCTGTCTCAAAAGAAAAAAAGGCAGGCGAGGCATGCTGGGGATGTAGCTCAGTGCAAAGGTGCTAGATTCAATCTCTAGTTCCACAAAACAAAACAACACAACACAACGTAACACACACAATGACCACATATACCTTTTGTACCACAAAACTACACATTAAAAAAACACAAAAGCCACAAAAACAAATTACTAAGATCAGTCTGGGGGCTGGGGATTTAGCTCAGTGCCTGCCTGGCAAGCACAAGGTTGTGAGTTTGATTCCTGGTACCGGAAAAAAAGAAACAAAAACAACAACAACAACAAAAATTGGAAAAAATTACTTATTATCATGTATTTGGGAACTATCTGAGATACATCTGCTCTCTAATAATAATAATTGTCACTTATATTCCTGTACACATAAAATTACTAATACAATGCAATTTTATTCCTCCTTGCTCACCACTATCATAATAGAGACATCTGTACATCTCTCATTTATACTCATTCTCTCCACACTGTTCTACAGTAAATGTCAACATTCCCAATCACCAATATTTATTCAGCACCATATGAAAGCACAGTGCTGTTGAATATAAAGTTATACCTATCATCAGACCTTACAAGCTGGAAAGATGGTCTTATATTAATATTCAGAAAGCTTTATATTCAAGTCATTGATAGCCTTAATATTATTTAAAGCTCAAAGATTTCTTTTTTTTCAATTGTGAAATATTCTCCATGTAGGCTGACAGTTTTACCAAGATTTAAGGAAGTAGAGGGGTGGCATAGAGACACAAAGGACAGTATAGAAGCAAATAATATATGGGTCTGTAGTAAGACCTGACCTATAATATATGGGTTTGTTATAAGAGCTACCTTAAATGACGTAACTGATAACAAAGCTTGTGAATAACATTTACATAAAATGCTTAAGATTTTACCTTCACACTTGAAGAAATTTAAGTTCCATTAACCTTCAAATTTATTCTAAGTCAAAACTTGTATGTGCATATGTGTTTTGGAGGGGTGATGCTATGGAATAAACTCACACTATGCAAGCCCTCTACAGTGAGCTCCATCTGTCTTTTTATAAAAATATTTATCGTGTTACAGTGATTACAAAGTTGTCCAGGCTGGACTTGAACTTGTGATCCTCCTGCCTCATCCTCCTGAATAGCTGGGATTACAGAGAGGTGCCATGGTACCAGGCTCAAAATTCACAGAATATAATTTTCTCCACAAACTGCATGTATATCTGCAATGAAATCTGCAGTGCAAATATTAGAAAGGATAAAGGTATTAACCATTTAGAAAGACTTACCTCATCACAGTCTCCTTCAACCATGGCATATATAGCTTTCTTGACCAAGTTAGTACCTAGAATATAGATCTGAGTATTAGTGAACAGAAAAGATAATTAGTTCCTTAAAGAACCTATATTATAATATTCATAATAAGCACATAAATCTCTACTGTTAGGTTCTATCTTGAATGCAGTTACTCTGATAACTTACATGTGGAAAAAACTGGATATAAACTGACAGCTCTTTTTTATTGTTTTTCTGCTTAAAGAAGAAGGAAAGGAAGAAAAAAAAAGGCACAATACGGTACAGCCAGACCAACTTAGAACTCTTTAAGCTAGCCAGAACTTACTATACAACCTGCAGTCATCTTGCCAAAGATCTTCGCAAGTCCTGGACACAAAGTACAAAGACAGCCTCCTAAGAACTGCTATGCCTATAGGTGGGCCAAGACACTCAGCTGGCTCCTATAACCTCATAGTAAGCCTGGGCACAATTAAGTCTGGCACTCTGAGTGATGTCAGAGGTACGTCTATAAATGTCTATGAAAATGTATCCTAGATCAGGTCAGCTATATCTGATATTGTACATTACGAGGAAAAGCACTGCAGAATCCAGTTTTTAAAAGACCCATTTTATTTTAAATTGTTTCTTATTTTGAAACTGTGCATACATTTCATGAGTCATACAAAATATGTCTGAAGGCCAGGATGGAACCCTAAAGCCACTTGGTTTATGCCCTGTGAACTAGCCAAACAATTGCCTATCATTTTTAGTGAGTTTTTATCAGTTCTTTTCAATGAATCAGATTCATACTTGGTCTGGAAAATAATCCCAATTCATAAAAAAAACCTTAACAGAAACCTGCGACACTATAATATATGTTTTTAGAAGTCAGTTACACCTGGGGCTGGGGATATAGCTCAGCGGCACAGAGCCTGCCTGGCAGGTGCAAGGTTGTCAGTTTGATTCCCGGTACCAGAAAAAATAAAAAAAAGAAAAGAAGTCAGTTACACCTAACATAACAGGCCAGGCACAGTGGCACAACCCTGTAGTCCCAGGTACTTGGGAAGCTGGAAGCAGGAGAATCACTTGTGCATAGGAGTTCTAGGCCACTTTAGGTAACACAGTGAGACTGTCACACACACAAAAAAATGAGCCAGGCACGGAGGCTAAGGCAGGAGGATTGCTGCAAGTTTGAGGTCAGCCTGGAATACAAAGTAAGTTCAAGGCTAGCCTGAACTTCATAGTGAAACCCTGTCTCAATGAGATAAAAAAGAAAAGAAACAGAAGAAAAGAAAAACCTAGCTTACTAATTAAATATATTTATAATGACTTCTCTGAACATCAAAGACTGTGTAAAATTGTCTGTTAGACAATAACCCTCAAATTTAGTTTTAAAACAACTATAAACTAACTATAAATTACACAACTGCTAATAACTGAGTATTAGTATTGGGATCAAATACTATTTTATGAATATTCACTAAGCTTAAATACATCCCAGAGTTTGATGCATTTAGCCAAGTGTTTACCACCTGATACTCCACTGTGACAAGATTCAGTAAGTCCCAAACACTACAGCAATGGTTTCTTAATCAGGTTCCACCAGTCACTTGGGGAAATTTTAGTCCAGCTCTAACAGGGTGAACACAAATCAAGGAGAAGGGCCTAAACATGTACTATTAAACCATCCATGGATTCTAACAACCATTATAAACCATGCGCGCAAGATTAACTAGACATCCCAGAAAAGGTCAATACAAGAGTTGGGGAATATAAGAAATAATCAATTTTCTTCCCAGAGGCCACTTTTAAACTGCAACATGATGTTTCATGACTAGCACTAATTAATGGTAATAACAATAACTCTGTAACTCTGGCTTGGTTGTGGTCTACTTAACCCAATTGAGTGCCCTACTAATGCTATTAAAAACTGCAGTACTTCCTACAATATAATGACTGAAAAGAAAACTGATCACCTCCTAAGTGGATGAAAAAAGATTAAGACATGTTATGTACATGTACCACAAACCACAAACATGTACTAATAAAAATCTAATCTAAATAAAAATTTTAAAAATTAATGAAGAAAATAATGCCCTTTAATAACTTTTTAAAATAAAAACCTTAACTCTGTTTTACCTTCAAATTCATTTCTAATATTTACATGTAAGTTTGTTTCAAAACACAAAACTGAAAATAACTTGTTTACTTTTTGAGTAAAGTAGTATTTTCTTACCAATGCCATTTCTCCTGTATTTGGAATCCACAGCTAACATGGCTATATAACCTCTGCGGAACATCTTTTTGTGCATATCCAACTTGCAAACGATGGCACCTACACACTCCTCCCCTACCATGGCCTTAAAAATAAACAAACAGTTATGAAGTGTGCAATTACCCAAGGAAAACAGCAACCAACCATTGGTCAGCATTTCTGAAAGAAGAGAAAGAGAAATCTACCAGGAGAGCAATCATTTTTCAGAAATCTAAATCTCTAACTTCTCTGAATGTTCTAATTTTAAAAACTTCTCAATATTCTTTAGAACACACATTTCTTATGCTTATTAAAGCCCCGGGGGAAAAGACAGTATTTCCACATGGTAAGTATTCAGTACTTTACACATGCATGAGGTGCTTATGATTACATTTATGTGTAACAAAGACCTACTTAAGTTTGGGAAGGGAAAATATGCAAAAAAAAATTATTTTAAACACAAAATCCTGTCCAGCTTGGTGGCACAAACTTGTAATCCCAGTGCTCAGAGGCTGAGGCAGGTAGACTGTCATAACTTTGAGGCCTGCCTGGGCTACATAATCAGTTCAAGGCCAGCCTGAACAATGAAATGAGATCCTGTCTCAGAAAGCCCCCCCGCAAAAATCCTATTCATTAGGTTATACAATTTGCCCATAAGCAGAGTATAACTTTTCATAATAAGCTTTAATAACAGATAAATATAAGACATGATATACCTGTATGATAGATTATATTCTAAAAGTTCAGGAAGAGGATTGCTTGTAAGTTATTGCTTAGATTACATTCAAAGACTTTGTTAGCTGGGCCTGGTGGTGCTGCTTATCATTCTAGCACTCTGGGTAGCTGAGACAGAAAAATCACAAGTTTGAGCCCAGCCTGGTTAACTCAGCAATGTATGTGAGACCCTGTCTCAAAATTTAAAAAATAAGGTAAAAAAATGGTTAGGGATCTAGCTCAGTGTAAAGGCCCCGAGTTCAATCCCCAATACTGCCAACACTCCCCCCAAAAAAACCCAGAACAAAAGGTTTTTTGTTACTGAAGTAGTACCAAAACTAAATACACGATGGTCTCATTTTTTAGGATACTCATGACAGAGGAGGTCATGTCAGAAAGCTCTCAGAAAACTGTAGAGGGGGCTGGGGACTTAGCTCAGCGGCACTGCACCTGCCCGGCAACAGCAAGGTCATGAGTTTGATCCCCGATACCGGGGAAAATAACCAAAAAAAACCAAAAAAACAACAACAAAAAAGAAAACTGTAGAACTTTCTCAGCTATTTTAATACAAATATCAGCTTTCCAAAGCGTTAAAGACTACATCTTAAATAAATGCTAATAATCTCCCATTTTCTTTTAGATCTCTGGTGTCGCCAATGTGAATGGTTTTCAAAATGTCCAACAATGACGAAAAGTTTTCTAACACTATTCCAACAGATATAAATAGGACAGTATCTTCATTTAATGCATTAGCAAAAGTAGTAGTTCTTGTCTATAACTTTCCTCTTCTTTTCTCCTATTTCGACAACAAAATCAGGAATGGGTTAAAAAAAATTAGTAACCAAAGTACAGTTCATACCTAGTACATATTTTAACCTGAATCTGTTGTAACATTTTTAGTCTGTCATTCCATAAATTGATCTTTTATAAAAAATACATAAGGAAATCTTTTTAGACAATTTTTACACAAACCTAAATTAGGTAAAAAAATTATTTTGAAGGACTATTAAATTCATCAACCTATGCAGTTATTTATCACACATTCCAAAATTATGTCAACAAACCTCTCTTCCTATTTTTCCACTTAAACCACACTAAACCAATTTGTTTTCTTACAAAAATTAAAATTCTTCCCATATTATGACACGAAATACACACAAAAGATGCCGGGGTTGAACAACTCAACTGACAGTTCCTTTTTTTCCTTCTTTTTGGTGCTGGGGATTAAACCCAGGGCTGTAAGCACAGTAGGCAAGCATTATACCTTGACAGAATTTTGTGATTTGAAAATAACTCACTTCAAATATATATCTATGTGTGTCTACATATACATATACATATATATGTACACATATGCAAAATCATCACAGATCAAATGGTATATTTACAAGAGCCAGAAAAAAAATTTTGGTCTAAACTCATAAGCTACGTTCATGAGAAATAAAAATACATATAAAACTGTGATACAAATCTCCAAGACAGGTAAGATACACCTTACAGTTCATAAAGCCATCCAATAAAGAAAAAAAATTAAAACCATTAAACACAACACAACTTTGAGCATGAAGTAAAAAGCAAAATATGTTAGTTCATTCTTAAAGAGTAGACTGCTTTCCTAATTAAGAACCTGGAGGAGCAAAAATGAAGTTGTACACATCTAAAAATAAAAGACCAATACTTCATTCACTGTTATTAAGAAAATGTTGTTAGTAAAGAAGGCTAATACTGAACTTTTTTCTAGTGAACTGCTGATGAATATATTTTATAACTATCATGTGCCTGTGGAGTTTTGCAAATAAAAATTTTAGCACATACTTTTTAAATTCATGTTACGTATTTTTTCAAAAACATCCGAAAAAAAAATCCCAACAGTTAAGACTTAACTCTACACGGCCAAAGGCTTCTCAGTCAATAAAATAGTAAGAAATATAAATAAATTGTGTGAAACAGATTCCAAAATTCAAGGACACTACAAATAGAAAACAAAGAAACCAGAAAGTTAAATTTAGAACAAATAAACAGAAGTTCTATATTATACTGCTAGTAAATTTAAGAATTTTTAAAACTGAAAATACTATGAAGTCTAAAGAGGTAACGTACACAGTAACTGACAGTGCCTCACATGTGTACTGTCATTTATTTTTTACATCTGCTACATCATTAGGAAGAATTATAACAGACGATTTTGTTAATCAAGTACTGGCAATTCTATAACATATTCCATTTGACCCATTACAGCTTTCCCAGTGGAAACCTGCAACATTTTGGAGGGTTCTTATCTTTTGAGACTCATGTTTATATGGCCAACTGCCCTCTGTGAAGGTAATTTTGTGACACAATGGGTTTCACAAAATGGGTCAAGGTTATGTCATTTTTCAGGTTGTTACTATGAAACATCAGGAGAACTGGATCTTACCTTTATTCTATGCCACTAAATATCTGGAGATTTAAATATTTTCACTCCGGTTTTCATTTTTTTCCACCGGAGAGGAGGGGAAGTTGAACCTATATTATCTATAGGAGTCTTTCAAATATGACTTAAAAGCAAACATAAACAATGATATTTTTAAAAAGTTGAGTTCTTATGGGAAGTTTAAATTTAAAAGCATGTTAACATACAAGATCCAGTTCTAAATGGCCTCTATTGGTGAACTACTATTTTACTGTTCAACATCTCCAGATTCACATTGGCACTAGTAAATCTTATAGACCATCCACTTGTGCATATCTCAGTTTCTAGGTGGTCAGAACTTAATTTTGTTTCGTTTTGTTTTTTTACCCAGAACTTAATGTTAAAATTTGACTATTAAAGGATAAAGTACAAATTAATTGGTGAACTGGGAGGGTTTTATATAAAATCAACATTAAAGTTTACTAAGTTTGCCAGAGTCTAAAATGGCAGACAAGTGGAGAGACCGAGGTAATACCAGAGCTCAAAAGTTGACCATCATGTACACAAAACTATTCTCCGAAAATTAATGGAAAAACACCTATTTAAAATGTGACACAATTATATACTTCTGTGGGTTAACTTACAATGAACCTACATTTTTTAGCAATTACAATGGTATTTGATATGACATTTGTAACATTTTCCGGTATTCACGGAGGAAACTTGTCCTAGAACTTCTATTTTGATACAATGGTAAGAATTCCAAACAAGTTTTCTAGAACATAAAACAGTATCTACAGATTAAAAATACTAAATTGAAGTTCAATCAAGTTAACACAAAAGCAAAACTGCCACCTACAATACCTAGGCTATGTTTTCAAATTATCACCAAGCTATAAAATCAAAAAGACGGTTTTAAACTATCGTCAAAATGTACTGCAGGAATTACTAAGCACAACTAAGTCAACGGTAAAACAATAACAGTGGTAGAATTTTTCTTCACGTTATGAAATAACTTCTTAAACGCAATTAATAAAAGTCAGTAGAAACAATGTGTGATAGAAAGCATATACCCACAGCCAATATTTAAAGGTTTTATTGAGACTGAAATTGGGTTAATATTACTGTAAAGTAATTACTGGTACGGCTGATATTATGTAAAGAAATTATACAGCTTATCTCACAGTCAACTTTTTTGTTTACATGTAGGTAAATTTTGTCAATTATACCCCCACAGTAGCCATAGTACTAGTGTTTAAGCATTTCTACGACCAGTTTCTTAAAAAATAAAAAAAAAGCGGATAGTTAACAATTTCACATTTCACAGAGTTTTTTTACTCAACTTTCTGGGCTCTTTCAGCAACCAGAAGGTAACAGCACCTTCTGCCATGGAGCCCAGGAAGCAGGCTGGCTACAAATGTTAACTGTCTTGTTTAAGTAAGAGGAAACCATCCACACTTACTGAAAATGTTTGTAAGATTTAATTCTCCGAGGTGGCCACGCCAAGTTTACTGACAATCATGTTCACCAAAACATGTTTATGCCCACACTCTTCCCTGATTACGACTGTAACTGAAACATTAGTGAGACCTACAAGGGAGGCTAATGAACGACGGCTAAACGTGGTTATAAGCTAACGTAAACAGGACCCGAGGACCCCTCTGCAGTGAAAGAGGCATCCCAGGGGCTTGCTGTCTTTCTGAGTCTCAAGACAACCCAGATCGCGAGGTCTTACCTTCCAACAGTTCCATTCAACACCCAGGGACGCGCGCTCGCACTTACAGCGTGTAACGCACCACGGAACGCAGGACGCGGCCACTGCCACACTCGGCCCTCACGCTCCCTGCCCCGTGGCCCGCGTCTTGCCGGGGCGCACCCTCTTTCCACGGCGTCCACTTACCAAGAAGCACAGCTGTGGCCAGTTGTGGATAAAATATCTATACGTATAAATGGAGTAGGGTTCGGACAGATCTTTGGTGATCAGTCTCATGATATCGGGCATTTGGAGCTCGGACTCGTAACGGACGTATCGTATCGTCCGGTCCTCCCCGGGCTCCGCCTCCCGGCCCGAGGGGCTCCTCAGGCTGCAGCCGGCGCTCAGGGCCGAGGACAGCAGCCGCACCTGCTCGTCGTCGTCCTCGGGCTCGGCGCCCTCGGCCAGTCCGTTGCGGGCCGCCGCGGGGTCGCGGGC